AACTTTTACAACTTTTAAACTTCGTACTGCGCTCAGGATAAGCGCCGGCAACCCGTTGTTTCCGAATGACCCGGGGTCATGAGACCTGCCGAGAAGCAGTACAATGCTCTCGTTGTTATCCTGTACTTTGTCATCCGTCTGTGAGGCCGTGCTGTTTGTCTGGAGGTTTTACTACGGTAAACCGCAAAGAACGTGTGAAAGCACCTGTACGCTTTCAGTCATTATGTAATGGACGAGTCACCGATGAATGTCTGCGACCCCGTCTGCAGAAGGTTACTTGGCATCGGTGTTTCCGGTGTGCGGTATTTATCCCCGCGTTGGCACAAAAGAGGGGCTCCGACGTGCCCCGGCAGCGCTAGAGAGAAGGGGTGACTAACGCCGCGGGCGTGGCTGGGAAGCGCGCATGGTTTGGAAAAGGTGTCGCTAGTCATTCCTTCGCCATTGGTGTCCGCGTCGTGTTTGATCATGAGGGTCGTTCTGTAAAGCGCTTTGAGGAGCCACCTTTAAAGGCGCTATATTTAAAATAAAGTTTTTGCTATTATTATTTAAAACTAGGGTAAAAACTTTCCTGTAGGCGCATGCGTACCTTGGCTGCAAACATACTTGGGGTGGAACGGTGGCTCTGTGGCTCAGGATCTGTGCCTGTGGCTGGGAGGTTGCCGGTTCAAATCCCGCAGCCGGCAGAGGAATCCTACTCCGTTGGGCCCCTGAGCAAGGCCCTTCACCCCAACTGCTCCAGGGGCGCCGTATAAATGGCTGACCCTGCGCTCTGACCCCCAGCTTCTCTCCCTGTCTGTGTGTCTCATGGAGAGCAAGCTGGGGTATGTGAAAAGATAATTCCTAATGCAAGAAATTGTAAAGGGTTAATAAAGTGATGTTATTATTATTAGTATGTTAGTGTTAGTGTTAGTATTAGTATTATAATACTTTGTCTCAATCCAAGTGCGGAGCTGTTCGAGAATGTGATTTGTTTTAATCCGGTGGAGATTCACTGCCCTCTAGTGGAGCAGTGCCGTATCTACATCAGACGAGATTGTTCACACCGGCTGCAGGAGAGGAAGGTGCTCGGGTTTGCGAGTAACGACACGGGGAGCCCAGCGGCCTACTTCACTGGGAGAAATTTAAAGTAGTCCCCCCAAAAAACAAACAACAACACTGCATGCCTGTGGGAAAGGGGAAGAAAGAGGAACAGGTGCAGACAGAACATTCAGACTCCTCACAAGGAGACACTGAAGCTCAGAATCAAACCTGTGACCTTGGGGATGCGAAGGTTTTAAAGGTTCCGTTTTATCCGAAATTCATCTCGAGAGATACAGAATCTTTTCCGGGTGGCCTAAACGTCTGCTCTGTAGTTGAAACAGCGTGCAGAGCCTTGACAAGCAAGTGGGTTGAAATCTGGTTTGTTTTGCCTTCTCTGCCAATCCAGTAATTTGTCTATTAAATCAGCATCTCGGTTCCGTTGTCCCAGATCGAATGAGATTGAAAAGGCCTTTTACTTTCTTAAGAAGTCGTAAAAAACCCTCTCCCCCTGGCTGCGGTCTGACTCACAGACAGACAGACAGAGCTGGGGGGTGAGGAGAGAGAGGCGCGTTCCTGCTCGCTGGGTTTTTTTTTTATTGGGTCGTAAAGCTGTGCCGACCGGCAGGTTTCTCTCTCCGTCCCTCAGTCTGTCTGTCAGAGGGTGAGTCAGGCCGCGCGGCTCTGATTCCCGCTCTGAAGGAGAGAGGGAGAGAGAGAGAGGGCGCCGGGTTCCGGGTGAGAGTGGAGAGAAAAGTACGCCCCCTCCCTAACTCCCACACACACCACCTCCCCCGGCCCAGTCCTCCCCTGAGTTCCGGGAACAGCATCGCTCCGCTGCTCCTGTTCCTATCACTGCATCCCTCCTGGGGGGGGCCGTGAAACCCGCCCACAGCCCCCCGAGCGAGCAGCTTTCGACGGCAGGCCTGTCCCAACGGCCCGAACCGCTGCCCGGGTCCTGGCACGCCACTTCAAACACGGCTCGCGCCGTCCGGAGGGGAATTCTGGGGCCGTGCAGCCAACCTGCCCCTCCTTCGCCGAAAACAGAACGACTGTTGATGTCACGACGGCAGGCACCCCCCCCCCAGAAGAGCGGCGTCAGAAAGTACAGCTAATTCGCGCGGGTGTTGCGGTGCTTTTTTGTTTTGGGCTCATCTGGTGGAGGAAAATGGTGTCGGGGGCCGGTTTAGTGTCAGACATTTCAATTTCATTCCTCTTCGTTGGGCTTTTTGTGCTGCAGCACTCAAGGCGGTGCTTGTAACGGCTGTTTCTTCTCAGTAGCCCTCTTCAATATCATTTCATTCGCTTTTTTTGGGGGGGGGGTTTCACGTCTGTCTGTTTGCAGTCCAGCCCAGTGTGTCATATCTTGTCAGTCCATTTCCTTCCTGTTTGTCGGCTTGCTCTTTGTTTGAGGCAGGCCAGAGTTTTCTCTAAACCATTCAGGGGTAAAATTTTAATAGGGGGAGAATGGCCAGAGCTGGGAGCCGGGAGCTAAGCGTCTCCCTCGCTGTTTGGCGGCAGCCCGCTGGTTGTCATGGCACCCGGGCAGTGAAAGCCACCGGTCACATGATCCAAGGGACAGGGGGAGGGCGGGACTCAGTCCCCAGGGGGGACCACACACTGTGGATCATTAGGAAGGTGCTGTCCTGGCAGATGATGACCAGAGGCCAAGAGATCGGGGGGCGGAGGAGGAGTAGCACAGCGGCTCACAGCTGGCCTCCTCCTGCGTGCACAGTAGCGCCCTCGTGCTGTTTGCCAACTGCTGAAAAGACAGTGCTGGGACACACACGCACAGCCAGTCCATCGCTTATTCCTGCCCGTGCCTTGATTTTCTGTCCAGATACAATTGGGATTCGAATGAAGGCGATGACATGGCAGTGCAAGCAGGTCAGTCTACAGTGTTGTAGGTGCTGTGCTGATTAGGATGCATAGGTGTCAACTGAACGTGAGATAGGATATGAACAAGAGAAGATCTTTCAGCCCATCTAGGCCAGTTTGGTCGTTCGGAATTGACTGATCCATTTCATCCAGCCGTTTCTTAGAAGAAACCAAGATTTCGGCTCCAACAACATGTCTGGTTAGCTTGTTCCAGACCCCCACAGCCCTTAGTGTAAAGAGGTGCCTGCTGTTGTCAGATTGCACCTCCACAAACCTGCTTGAACACCTTTGTCTGTTGGAAGGATCCCCAGGGCACTGTAAGGCCGACGCGTTGCTGGCGCACACAGTAAAATGCAGCTTTCACTGAATGAAATGAAGAAAGAGTCTTTCCTTTCCTGGGTCCTGGGCAGCGTTTGTTTTCCCTGGACTCTTTGTGAGCCTGTGCTGTGTTGAGGTCCAGATGAAAATGAAGTGGCTGTGAAGGGGGTGGTTTTGGCCCAATGCACAAGGAACAGAAAGAAGTGTCTGAAATGTGTGCATGTTGTTGATGTCAGGCACCATGCTGAATGCCTGTGTGCTCATTTTTGTGTCAGATTATTAATTACATCATTATCATATCTCGATTCTGTGTGGCTAATTCTACCGCTGTGGAGGATCATTCATATGTTCAAATTGCAATGAAACTCTTATTTTTGGGAGTCTTCCTTCATGCTCAGCAAGGGGAGGAAATGCAGGGGCGCACAAGGAGGAAATGATTTCTTGCAAGCCTGCAATACTTTAGCCACACGGCACTGTCTTTATAAATCTGTTTCTCTGCTTCTGAGTGCAAAATGTCACTTTTCACCTGTATGACAAGCAAAGGCATGCTCCCGATTTCTCAGAAACTGTGAAGAACATAAATGACAAGAATCTGTACTGTAAGAGCATTCCTGAGTCCCACTCCCTAAGTCACGACTATAAAATAGCTGAAACATAGCTGTGCTCCATCATAAATACAAACCGACAGCGGTGCTGACAGCTTCTTCCTGACTGCTTGCGAGGGTCAGAGGTCGAGTGGTGGAAATACTGTATATTCCCTAACGCTGGGATCAGGCCTGCAGGCAGTCCATAGGTGAGCCTTCATGGAGGGATCTTACAGTACTTAATTGTGAGAGGGAAGCACTTTTCACAAGATGATTCTCCTCTGCTCCTTAAGCATGGTGCCAGTGGCATTGCCTTTCAACGCAAAGGAGGAAAGAAGCATTTGAATTGCTTAATTTAGGAATGTATTAATTAAAAGCTGCAAAATCCAAACTCTAGGGGTATTATGCTGGTGGGTATGATGATTTTGCCGAGCTGAAAAGCTTTTTTGTGTCTTTATGTGAAAATAAAAGACTGTTATGCACAGTACAGCAATGCACCATACTGAAATGTTTTCTTCCTATATTTTTTCATGAGAAGACGTGACAAGAAAAACCTGCCCTTCTGCAGGAAAGAACTCGTCCCCTTCGTAGTGAGTTCCCAGTGCAAAAGAGGCTAGCAGGAAGTGTCAGTATTTATTAGGCAGTATCATGCTTTATTATTCACTTTGAAATCTGAAACCTTTACAAGCACCCCAATACTTTGTGAATTTAGCTAAGGGAATAACAAATCAATAACTGAGTTGAAAGTTCTGATCACATTATCTAACTTTCCTTGATTAAAGGTGTAGGGACATTCATTGTATATATCCTTTGACCTTACTATATATACTGTAATACCATACAGTTGTATTAGCCAGTGTCTAGACTGTACTGTCAGTGTACTTTTGTTGTTTGTTATTTCTACAATTGTTTGACCTATCATATGACACTGAAACTATGTAATCTTAACAGTTATGCAGAAAATTCAACGGATCATTAATAAAGCATTGATCCCAAGTTGATTTTAAAGGAGTGCACTAGTTATTCTGTCCTGTAATATGAGGATACGTCGTACATACCTTATCTTTGGCCTCTCACATTATATACGTTTCATATTAAATATTATTAAAATCATTTCAGGACAACTATTTTTTGCATAAGATGCCTAATCTAGTTGTGTTTACAATGGTTAACTCCGGTAAGCATTTTCCAAATTCCAGATTAAAAATGGGAAATGTTTTGTTTTCGAAAATATCACATTTATTTCTTTACAAAAGAAAACAAATCATCAACACAATCATGCAACAAAAAGAAGAATCACAGTTAAAAAAAAAAAACTGCTACACATCTGAGTTCCTTTGTCTTGGGACTGAGATTTCCAGATCCCACCTTTCCCTTTTCAGTAACTTAGGTGTCCAGCCTCCAGCTGGGTTAGTGCTGTAGGTTGAACTTTAGGGACTGTTCAAAGGCTTGTGCAGTTTCTTACCATGTAGTACAGGCTTTGACTTTTAACAAGCTGATATCACTCATTTCACAGCTTCATAGAACACTTGTGTGCATTGGTACTGCAGTACTTTCACTCTTTGTACATACAAAGATTCAATGGATACAGCCTGCACATCTTCAGTTACTTTTTAAAAAAAATGACTGATCGTGAATGCCCGATTCCTCTTGCTATGACATTCTTGTTGGGCTCCTGTTTCATTCATTGCAAGCGTAACAAAAGGCGACCGGGCTACCTGTGGGAAATGTCTTAGCCTCTTTTTTTTTCCCCCCACGGCCTGTGAAAATATGCACCACACATTACAGTCTCTGTCATTTTTTTGGCTGTGCACTTACATTGAGCAAACAAAGCGCGTGCCGGCGCCCTGGCCGCTGTCTGTGTGCGAGTCTCCTGCGGTCAGTGCATGGGGAGGGACTGCTGGTAGCCGGTGCCTTGCAGGTAGCTGAACTGCCAGGAGAAAGGCAGGGTGGGGGACGCCTCTGGGTAGCTGTCCATGTGGTTGTGGTGGCAGGTGGTCCTCACCCCAAACTGGCAGCCAGTGCCCCCGCCGCTGCTGTAAAAGTTGGGGCTCCGGATGTCGTCTCGGGGGCTTCCGAAGTGTCCGTGTTGCAGGTAGAGGGGGGGCTCCGGGGAGTAGCAGGCGTAGTGGGGCGGGGGGGAGCAGGGCGGGCCCAGGTGGCCGGCCGCGTCGGCGTACAGCTGCTCGGGGGACACCTGGAAGGCCTGGGGGTGCCCCGCGGGCTGCGGGGGAGCGGGGAAGGGCCCCTCCTCCGCC